ACGCTTGTATCCCTACCGAAGGCGGCTGCTGCTGCCCCTTCTCCTTCCCTTTCAGTACATTTCCTGAGACCAACTTGCCACCCGACCTTGATAATAGTGATGAACGTTGCTACATACACGCTGGAGCTGAGGACCCTGAAGGTACCAGAGAAGCTGCTACTCGCACAACCACCGAATGACCTTTCTTGACTCCCACAAAATCGCGTACCGCATCACTCAGATCATTCTCCTCATCTAATAAATCATCCTCTTCAAGATCAACATCCATATGTGCTTCTGGATTATTTGCTTCTTTTCCTGAATTGCTACTAACTACTGCACTTGCACCTGAGTTGATAACCTTGCCATGATTTTGTGCCTCCTCCATCTCACTGTCCTTTGGTGCCCCACTACCATGATCTTCATTCCCATTATTCTTGGTGTTCCAAATGCTTCACAGCCCGATGTTTGGTAAATAAGGTTCAACTTCGAAAAGCAACTAGAAGTATCGATTACCAATAATGACATCTAGTTTGGTTGGAATTGCCTCCGGATCTAGTACTGCCACTGCAAACCTTCCAAAGCTACTCGCTCTAGTTGTCACCATGTCCACATCTTGAGTAACTCCAAAAAGAGTTCCCAAAGCCCACAAAACCAAATACTCCCTTAAAATAGTCGAAAGATTTAAGACTCTCATCCACACCACTGGCAGAGCATGACCGAAATATTCCTCATCTTCCTTGAATTCTTGAAATTTGAGAGTCACACCTTCTTTCATTTCTGCATTGAACCTTGTCATCTTTGCTGATCACCCTTTGTAGGAAAAACACCTTGAACTCAGAGCTATTGTGCCATTTTACTTCCCAAGCAAAAGTGTCAGAAACCAAAACCCGCAAAAAGCGGCAACATCTTCTTCTGATAAATCTTTACCAGAAGTGGAGATCAGAACCATTCTGGATTCTCTCTTTGTCATCTGAATTGGTGCATGTGGAATAAGAAAACCGGCTAGTGCATCTGCCGCTTGACCGACCAACTGTGCTATTGGTTTTGGCTGCTTAAGAATCGGGCATCGACTCATGGCATGATCAGAGTTTCTACAAATTTCACAAAGTACCATCGCAGTGCACTCAAACATCAAGTGACCCTTTACACCACATCTTCTGCAAAACTTAGTGGTGCATGTCTTCTGTGAAGCACCTACAACCCCCACGCTCGATGTTTGTACCACTGAATTTTCAACCTGCACATCAGTTGGTCCATCTGCCGAAGAAGAACCCTTTAGAATTTGAGATCCAGCATTAACACCTTGCTCCGCACTTGTACCCATTCCTTTCAGCTGCTGCTGATCCGCAATAACACCTTGCTGTTGATTGATCCCCATCCCCGGCAAAGTCGTAGACGGCATGGCCATCATTGGAGGAGCTTGCGACGTGTATTGCTGCCGATTCACAAGTTGTCGCGCTGGGATCTAAGGGTTCGGCACAGGTTGCTGCAATGATACCTGCTGTGATGGCACCTGCTGCTATGGAAGAGGTTGTTGCACGTACTGCCGTTGCTGCTCAATCTGTTGTTGATGCTGCGGTGGCACCTGATGCTGTAGATGTTGCGGTTGCTGCTGAAGGTTCGACGGGTGGTGAGTCACCTGGTGCTGCTGTGGACCATATGGCTGAAGTCGCTGCTGATTTCGGTGAGGTACGTGACGCTGATACTTGTGCCCCAGTCGGAACCCGCCGTTCCAGCCTTGATCCCCATTGCCGCCAAAGCGTCCTCGTTGTCCCCGTTCATAATCCCACCCAGGGCCATAATTCGATTGAGCCCCGAGGTTAGGGTTGAACCGATGACCATTGAAAGGTGTGCCATCATCTACCTCCTGGTACACAAGGCCGACGCCATATCCATGTCGGCCACCGCGCGCAGCACCACGTCCACCGCTTGTGCGCCCTCCGCCACGGCTAGTTCCGTAACCTCTTCCTCCAACGCCAGCCCCATCATTGCCCACCCCGCTTGCACCTGGTGACGCCATGCTCGCACGCACGACTTGCACGTACGAGGGATGAACAGAGGAGGGAGTGGCGGCTAGGGTTAGCTTGTTGATCTCGTCAAGGTCGCAGGAGGCAAGCAGAAAATGTGATGCTAATTTTCCTGTGCGACCCCTTCTACGACCGCATCTGTCCAGCACACAAAGCCCACGTTGGTCTCAGAAGGCCCACCTGTCTCTGTGCCTGGAACGGATCGGCGGCAAGGACGTTCGTCTCGCATGTAACTCGAATCGCAGGCGTCACGTAGCCCACCCGTTCCTGCTGAGAAGACCGAACCCGCATGTCGCTGTTCACATGGTCCGCCCGTCCCTGCAGAGGAAACGGACCCCGCATGCCACTGTTTGCATGTCGCAGAAAACGGATCCAATTTAATTTGATTTTGAAACAATGACGAACAACAATCTTCATGAACCTCATGCACTGACTTCGCCCGCGACGATGGGGATGACCTCCCTAGGACCTCGGCAAGAGTACCCCCAGTCATCGCTCGTCGACCACGCAAAAGCGTTGTCGTACAATCGCCTAGCGTCATCGCCGGCGACGCCCTCGGTCGTGGCAGCTTCCCGGACCACGGCGTCAACGACGGCCGTCATCGTGGTGTCCAAGCTTTGATGATATTTCGCACCAAAACTACTTTAGTGTCCGAAGATGCCGGGGACGAAGATGCTTCTACCCGTCGTTGGATCGACGAGTCTTGCAAAGCCATCTCCGCCTCGGCAAGCTTCTCCTTTCCGAAGCCATGAACTGCTGCTTGGCATACCAAGTCCGGTGTATATGTGATTGATCGAGCTCCTCATCGGATTCGTCGTCGTCCGCTAACGCCCAGAACTTGGACTTCCCACCTATGGGACAGAGGTCTATCGCGGGATCAGAAACAACCCGATCACCACGGCCACCAACGGGTATCCAACCGTCGTCATCATCCTCCGTCCCAACACTGTTTACCAAAAAACTACGTAAGCTTACCTTGTTTTCAACAGCTCGATCTGCCGCACTCCTGCGAGATTCCAAGATCACCGGAATGCGAGGACGCCTTGCAAAAGATCTGCCAGGCACACCAGTGATCTTCTTCTCGCCGTCGTGGTCGACGGATTCGTGGAAACGTCGGCCTTCAGAAAGACACGACTCAGCGCTGTTGAGCACGAAGGCTTCCTTCGAACTCCTCCCAGCGATGCCACTGTTCCCGATCACGGTGTTGTCGGTCGCGACGACATGGCCGGCTCCGGCAATGCGGAGGGACTGCCCCGCGGCGCCGCTGTTCCCGACTACGCAGTTGTCGGGCGCAACGTAGTCATCTCCGGTGGCGCCGTTGTTCCCGGTGTCGTTGTTATCGGACGCGACAACGTGGCCCTCTCCGGCAACACGGAGAAGCCAATCTCCATCGCGCAGTGGATCGCCGTCGGACGCGACAACGTGGCCCTCTCCGGCAACACGGAGAAGCCGATCTCCATCATGAGATAGATCGCCGGCGTCACTCCGCCGCTGGGCTCCGTTGCCGTCCAGGTCCTCGGGGTCGCCTCCCGAATCTCCCTCAACGGTCATTTTTGCTATTGTGGAGAAAGTTTCCAGCTTTTCACAGCTTTTAGAAAGTAGAAAAAATATCCTAGCATGCATGATGTTTTTTTAGGTGTTGATTGACGATTCCCACCAACCGAATTCCTGCCCACCACATATGCACAAAGACAAAAAGGTAAACTGAAGATGGGGAAGAATTCGACACCCTGCATGAAAAGGATCACAAAATCCACACGCTGCAAAGCGTTTCAGCGTATGTGCTCGCATGGCGCTCTGATTTGCCGCATATATTCACTTCACACATTGCGGCGCCCACTATCATAGATTTCCGGATTGCTAGACGATGTAATGTCTAGCCTAGAACTACTAGGACCCACCATATATATACTACCTTGTGCTTTTGGGTTCATGATTTTTTTTTTTGAGAATGTCCATGATTGCTTTTGGGAAAAAGAGGTCTCCCGGTTGTTTTTTTTTAAAAACTTCTGAAAAAGAAAACTCTGATGCTGCTAGCCTGCTACTTCATGGAATTCACCAAGAGTTGCCAACCGAATATATAATTCCATTTGCATCCAAACATGAAGCTTCGTGCTGATTGATTTTCAGATAAATCAGCCACCATGTTATGTACTTACTGTAAGACTGAACGTGGAGGACAAATACAAAACAAGCAATCATCAAAGAACGTGTTAAGTGGGCGAATCCACATGGCCACATGCAGGTCGACACCAAATTGGGAGCGCCGCAAGATTCTCTCTCGTGATTTACAAGAAATTGTGTACCATTAGTTATTTTTTACCTATATTTAATGCTGCAGCATTTGGAGAGGGAGCAGAATTTGGATGTGATAAAACAAGGCCCAGCTCGACACGATAGATTCTCTGCGAGACAAGAAACCACCAGCAGCAGCTGCAGGTTGCAGAGGATAAAGAGCTTCACGATAGAATAGACAGAGACCTAAAAGATCGTCCAGACATTACATATACACGCGTGCTCGCTCCAGCTAATCTTGAATGAAAACCACCGGTTTCCTGTTTGCTCTAGACTTAATTACAAGCAAATAATAAACAGACACAAGGAGGTTAATTAAAGACAAAGGGCTAGCGACAACTCTTGTAAATAAAACAAGAAAAGAAGGGAGGTACAGGTACAAGAGAGACAATGGTGCTCGTAGGAAAGAGACAGCCATCCTACCACCAAATGAAACCATACACCAGCCTGTAGTGTAGCTAGGATCCATGGGCACCAAAAAGAATACGCCGCCCCCAACCACCGTTGCCACTACTAGTGGCGGTAGTAGTGGAGTGAGGTGAAATGAAACTGGAGCCAACCAATTCGATCGCATTCTTCAGTACAGTTCCCCGGCCCCTTTCCATGGCATGGAGCACAAGTAGCTGGCTGGCTCATGTTCAGAGAGGTATGGTACTGATGAAAACGACGAAACACAGGAGGTGGAGGGGGAGCTAATTAATGGTGCAGCTGCAGGGCTAGCAAGGAGAGGACAGTGGCGGCAGCGAGGGAGGCGGCGCCGGGGAGCAGGCCGGGCGCGGCGGCGTCCAGGGTGCCCGTGGGTCCCAGGGTGCCGCCGCCCATCCCGGTGCCGTTGAAGCCGCCGGTGCCCACGCCGGGGCTGAAGGTGCCCGTGCCCGTGCCCGTCGTCGCGCCGCCCGCGGTCGTGTTGCCCGCCGTCCCGGTCCCAGCGCCAGCGCTGCACGCAATCATCATCAGCACATTATTATTGACAGAAATTCAGTTTATTTTGTCGCCATGGACTTGCGCATTGCACTGCACCCGTACTCTCCAAGATTACACAGACAGGACCGGCAATGCAATAATCCAGTATGCATTCATGGTTTCAGGAAAGAAATCGACAAACAAACTCCAAAGAAGGTACTGCTAGTATATTTAGAGAAGGAGCCAGTGCAACTGTCATAGTCTGGTTTAACCTCTTCTCTTTCATGATAAGGAGCATATCAGTGGAATGGAAGCTGCAGAGTGCAGAATGAGCTTTTTCGTCAGTCTGTGTGTAAAACTAACTAATCCCTACTTTTGTCTGCTACGTACTCCTACATTATATTTATACTACTACATATGATGATTATGACGACGCACAGCACATGTGAGCATTAGCATGCAAGAAAGGCTGTCGATCGACAGCTTTTGGTTAGGATAGGACACTGCTGTGCAATCAACCTTTTCAGTCCGTGCGCGCGGGCGTGCATGACAGCAGAACAGAGCAGAGCAGAGGTGTTGAGCCACCGGAAAGGCCAAGAATGCGCATGTGCATTTCAGACAAGCAGGAGGAGCATGATCTGGCATTCTGGCTGGCTGGATGCAAGTAAAACACGTTCCTGTTACTTGGTGTGGGAAAAAGCCAAAGCGTGTGCTCCATCTCAAATCGGTTGGGAGAGGGAGAGACAGAGACTGCGAGCACTGAGAAGAGGCTTCGATTTGAAGCCAAGGTAACAGAGAGTGTGGTATACATGCACGTCACATATGTCGGTTGCAACGAACAAACAAAAACAAATAGCATTTTGTTTATATTTGGGAAAACGAAGCTTCTGGCTCTGGGGTGAAAGTGAAACGGGAAACTTGCCGAGTTGCAGGGCAATGGCATCAACTCGATGCACGTCAATAATAGAATTGTGTAAACGAACACTAATAGAGTACTCCTAATATACTAGTACTCCGTACTAGTGATGCTAGCTAGTGTCGGTGGGCGGTGCATGATTAAGAGTTGAAAGGCGTTGGAGTTGGACGCTCACGCCCTGATTGGCTGACTAGTTTTGGGATTTGCGTGTAGTTTGACTACCATATTATGCGGCAGCGGCAATAATAAGCGCAGTTTATATGTTTATTAAATAATAAAGATTCTCCAAAGACGAAGCGCGGCAGAGTAGGAACACGTTACCTGGTGGCACTTGAAGCGAAAGTGCAGCCGGAGAAACCTGCAGCAAGCATGGGCAAAGCAATGTGTTTCAGAATAAGATGTGCTGCTGTCACTGGCTCACTGCCATTAAGAATTAAAGATGATGTGTAGTTGTTGTTGAGCACAACACAACAGAACAGAACAGATAAGCGGAGCAGGAGAGGCGGCTTGTACTGGGGTCGGTGGTGGAGACGGTGGCTGCGCCGCCGAAGTCGCAGGTGGCGCCCCTGGCCTTGTTGTTCTGGTAGTAGCTGTTGGCGGCCCAGGAGCAGTGCGCCGCGACGGTGTTGGGGTTGTAGCACCCGCCGCCCTGCAGGATGGCCGTGCAGTCGGCGCCGCCCTGCGGACCGCACGCGAAGTCGATCGCCTTCTGCAGCACCGCCGTCGGCTGGTCCGAACGGCACACGCAGAAATCTGCCGCCGCCGCCGTTGTTGCCCCCACACCACACAGCACCAACAATCATACCAGTATATCAGGGATGGACGAATTCTCTATTCAATTTCGATACACAAGAGGAAAGCTTGCACAGCCTAGTATGTTGTTCTTCTTCGAAAAAATGGAAACAAGAAAAAGGCTGCAAAAGCTCCAAGGATTCTTAATTTCTCACGCCAAAACTACAGTTCAACAAGAAAAGCAAGCGTGCACCCTCCGAAAATTGAAAAAGGACAAACAAAGGAAGAGAGGAACTAATTAAAGAACGACGGCGTCGGCGTGTTATTATGTTACCTGACGCAGCAAGCGTGGAGGAGAGGAGGAGCACCGCGGCCACGAGCGCCAACGACGACGCCTCCATCGCAGTAGCAGAGCCCACCGGAGATTTAGCAGAAGCAGAAGCAGAGCTAGAAACGGACACGAGCTTTGGATTGCGGTTGGAGCTCCAACCTCACCGTACCGGAGGCGAAAGAGAGGTCGAGAGAAGGAAGGACTAGAGCTGGTGGCGAGCTCCTTTCAGATCCTAGCTGGAATATATGACGCGGCGTGCCTGCGAGCCAGCGAGTTCAATTACGATGCAGTGTGAGTGAGAGTGCCCGTGCACCTCTGTACACGCGTAGTTATAACAAGCAGGGGGGTGGCGCTAGTCGGTTGCGATTGAAAATATTGTTTCACAGCTGATCAGCTGATTTATATGGATTAAAGCCAGCTGAATAGCATGAGCAATCAGAAGGCCGTCTCAGCACAGCAGCTCAAGGCTGGCGTGCCTGCAGCCTGCTGCTGGATGCTGGTGAGCCGAGCTGAGTGTGAGCAGTAGAAGCTACGTAGTACAGGAGTCAGGACAGGGACTAGTCTGTAGTACTCTGTAACCTGTTTGGTGCGCCTGCGTGGCGTCGGTGACTTTGATCCCTCAGAATCTTCCTTTCTTTACTGCTCCCTCGACTTCAACGGTCGAATCGGATCCTCGTGGACGAACGGAGCAAATACGGGCACCACGGATCTGACCCGGAGAGCCTTCTCTTGCCTTTGCGCTTCTCCTCTTTTCGCCTGACTCACAAAGCGATGACCGGTTCTTTCGCGCCTCCTTCCATTGCTATTGCTAGTAATACAGACAGTGTTGGAGTATTCTTAAAAAAAAAAAAAAATTCAGGAAACGAGACAAACATGGCCCTGAAGCAAGGATTGCTCCTTTGGAGGAAAATCCTGTTACTCAGGCACTAAAGTCCTACGTCAATCGACCGGGTGAACCTGTTTTCTTACCTGCTGTTAGGATGGAGTTCAACTCGGCCAAGGATGCTAAGGATTTTTTACAATTTAAATTCATGGGAAATTGGTTTTGGCATAAGAAAAGGAAGAAATAGAACCAATGACAATAACTACATGACAAGGCAGGACCTTGTCTGTTCTTGTGAGGTACTCTGAAAAAATTAACCTCCTCGAGTACTTCCCGCATTTTACATAGCTCATTCCATGATTGTTTCACTTAAGGATGAAAAACGGTCGGAAACGGTCGAAAAACTCCTAAATTATTTTCTACTTTTACATTTGAAATACGAAAACGAAAGCAAACGATAAAGCCGGACACAAAAACGAACGCGAACTTACGTAATATCGAGAATTCCGAAAACGAACCAATTCGAGCGGATTTATGTCGAACACGGTCAATATATGAAAACTCAATACGGAATACCAACCCATAGGACCAAGTGCATGACTAAGTACATACATGATCAAGTTCAAGTGCATATAATAATTAACAAGTGCATGATCCTTGGTCTTAGGTATTTAACACAATAGCCGACACATAAATACAAGTCTAAAACAAACAATTAGTAGCTAGCAGGATAATAGAAATTAAAATTAGATGTAGCAGGGCTGTATGACCTGTGCAGTTGGCCAAATTCGGTTTAAACCGAATTTTGAATTCAGAATATTTCAAATTAAAAGTAGAAAAGTAGAAAACGGTCGAAAAATGTCTAAACCGTTTTCTACTTTTACATTTGAAATACGAAACATCTGAAATGCGAAAGCGAAAACGGTAAAGTCGGACAAGAAAATACGGATTCGATCGGATTAAATATAGAAAACGATGCGGTTCGGTTCGAGATATTTCCGTTCCGTTTTCATCCTTAGTTCCACTCCATCTGATTTACACTTCTGATCCGGTAACTTATGTGATATTGATATACTACTCAAGTAATGTAGTCTGCCCATAATTTATTTCTGAAAACCAGAATCTGAATGAGAGCCTCCTTTTCCTCTTATTTTATAAATTACAAGAGTCTGCCATTTCAAGCACAATATGCAAGATACCTTTTTTCTTCCTATAACACGCCTATTGGGAGGGTGTCGACAAAAGATGCTCGACAGTCCTCCGAGAGATATCCTACGAAGATAATTGATCGGTGGAGGTGCGCGTGTTGAGAACCAGATGGTGACACAAGGCGCAGAGACAACGATTTAGATAGGTTCGGACCGTCTGATCGATGTAACACCCTACGTCCTGTGTCTTTTTTGGATTATATGATATTGCGTGTATTTTGAGGGGGTCCCTGCCCGCCTTATATAGTCTGGGAGGCAGGGTTACAAGTCGGTTAGATCTTGGAGATAATCGGAAAGTATTAACAGATTACAGGAATTATGGGATCAGACGTATCCTAACAGATCTCATAGTATCTTTAGGATATCTTCCCGGTGTCTTGCGGGGCGCGCCGAGCAGCGCCGTGCTCCACAAGGTTTCGTGTCGTGGGCTAGACCACCCCTGAGGGCGCAGCCCATGTAGTCTGCCGTGGGTATCCAGAGTCGTACCCCCACAGCTAGTCCCCGAGCGTCTTGTATCCGTTGTGCAATGCCGTCTTCAGCTTGTCCGAGCAGGTGTGAACAAAGCTGAGCAGTCAGACTCATAGTCCGACCACCATACTGAGTCGCCGAGCAGTTGTGAACCATCGCCGAGCAGTGAATTTCAAGTACGGCTTGCCATAAGGATGTAAGGAGATCAAGTTCAAAATCGAAAATTTTCTCGTAGTGGACCAAGTGTGCCCACTTAGAGTCTGACCACAAGAAAAGGAGATAGTCTTGTTCAACTTCAGAAGGCGCGGAGTCTTCCAAATAAGGCAAACACACTCACCGCAAGGTGAAGTGTGCCCACTTAGTCCCCGAGCCTGACAGTAGGTGACGCAGTCACGTGGTGCCAGGGTCCAAAGTAGAAGAAAAGCATAAGACCAGCCGAGCAGGCAGCCAGTCTCTGGGCGGAGCCCTGAAATAAGAAAAACACATTCACCGCAAGGTGAAGTGTGTCCACTTAGTCCCCGAGCCTGATAGTAGGCGACGTGGTCACGTGGTGTCCGGGTTAGAAACAACAATAACCAGAAGAAAGTCCCCAGTGTGGTGAGGAAACAAGTCGTAGTGATGACGTAGTCCTCGAGCCGCTAGTGGAAATATCGGAGAAATCAAATCTTGTAGAAAAAACCGGAGTAATGGCTGTACAGTAGTAATTACTGAGCCTTGATGGTATGGCGGAGAAGTCGACGAATATTCGGTGTGCAGTTCAAAGTTGCGGCGGATAAATGGGCGATATGGGCTGCAGTTGCGTGGAAGCCCAGATAACGGCCCAGCACTCTGCTTCGGGGAATTCGGAGAGGCGCAAATCGTGGTGCGGTTTCCTAAAAACCCTAGAATGCGAAAAGTGGGTACGATTTCTTTATAACTGTGTCGCCGCGCTCCGCGCTCCCACCTTTGCCACTTCGTCTTTCTCCTCAGCCTTTGAGCTCCCCATCTACATTCATACGCTCTTCTGCCGCCAATCCCAATCCAGATCTGAGAGATGGCACCGAAGAGGGGAGGTGGTAACCCGAAGAAGGCGGCCGCCGTGATGAGCCATGACAAGGAGTGGGTGCTATCCTTGATGGGGGGAGACGGAGCTCAATGAAATGGTGACAGTGGGCGTTCTCCCTGAGCGAGTCACTGTCGGATGGTGTCCGGCCGACGGTGAGCCCTATCCAATACCGCATACCGATGAAGTCATAGTATTTGAAGATTATTTCTGGTGCGGACTAGGAATTCCTGTTCATCCTTTCTTGCGTGATCTTCTGGAGTATTGGGGTGTGAGCCTGTGCAATCTGCATCCGAATACAATCTTGCATATTGCCATCTTCATCCACTTCTACGAGGCGTATCTCGGCATTCTTCCCCACTTCAACCTCTTCCGACACCTGTTCTGGCTGAAGAAGGGTGAAGACGGTTCCAGAGTGGTCGGCGACGTGTATCTGCAACTCCGCATTAGGATGGCGGGCGAATACATCACTATACCGCTAAACACCTCGCTGAAGGGGTGGAATGCCAGGTGGTTCTATATGAAGCAGAGCCACCCAGCCATCAGATGCGACGTCGACCAGGTTCCAAAGAACCAGAGGAGTTGGTCGGAGAAACCAACCAGTGGTGATATGGATCAGGTAATGGAGCTCCTCGATGTGATGAGGGGCATAAAGATGAATAGAGTAGCGGTGGCGGTGAGCTTCATAGTGCGCCACACCCAGCCCTACAAGGAGAGGGCCCACGTGGGCTTTGACTTCAAGGGGGACACCGACGGCACCCGAGAGAGAATGGAGAAGCTGACGAAGGAGGACGTGCTACAGCGGGCCGTAGAGCTATTTGCTCTAAACACACAGTTTAGTGTACCAGGGCAGCCGAGAGCCTTCAACTGCACGAACCCACCTCCTCAGGTAAAAATCTTCACTGGTGTTCCTGGTGATTTTTATCTTGTGTGGTGTCGTGTAGTGAACTGATTCATATGTGGAAAGATCCATTCGTAGGAACAGGCGGCGTACTTCTCGGGCGTGCCGAGGAGCGACTGGCTGAAGGCAGTAGACGCTCGGCCAACCACTCAGCCGGAGGAGGGTGCCGTCAGCGCCTCGTCTGAGTCCGAGGATGAAGGTGCTGGTCGAAAGGAGAGTCTACCCCGGGTGTCAGAGAAGGTATTGGGAAAAGGGTAGCGATAGATGAGCCGGCCTGAAAGAAGAGGAAAACGGTGGGTGTAGCTTCCCGTAAGCTGGGCGACATCTCGCTTGGTGGTGATCAGACCACTCGGACGCAGAGTATGGCGACGTCCGAGTGGTCGGATGACAATGGGGCTCTAGTAGCTCCTCCTCCGAGCACAGAGGCCCCACCGCGCAGCATGAGCGTGGAGTTGCGATCGAAGGGAGGGGAAGGAGTCCCCGAGCAACGGGCGGAGGAGAGGCCGACGGTGGGGGCCGCAAGACCTCCAGCCCAGGGCACGCGGGTTGACCCTAGAGCCGTGCCTGGGTGCTCGGGGAGGCAGCACCGGTTCAGAACCGTCTACCGGGAAGCCTACGTGTAAGTATC